TGTTGAAGCTCTGCCCCTCAGGCTCTGCTGCTCTCCAATCAGGACATTTGGGATCAGCACCATCCAGATCCTTCCTGGCGCCTCCTGCTCCCTCCGACACGCCCAGACCCCCGGCAACGCTTACCCCCCTGCCCACTAGCCCCGCTGCCCCCGGGAGCAGGGACATCTCTGCTGTGACACTCACAGAGCCCTCAGGGTGGGGAATGCTGAGCCCCTGGGCCATCGTGTCCGTGCCAGCCCAGCTCTGGCTCTGGGGATCATGGTTGATGCAGGGAGCACAAGCCATGGCCGTGTCCCCTCCCTCCAGCCACATTCCCGGCTGGCAGCAGCAGCCAGAGGAAGCCGGGAAGCGCTGACAGAGGGGGCAGAGGCAGCTCAGGGTTCACGGTGCTGTTTATTGATATCAGACCTCAGTGGGATGCAGGAACCAGGTGCCAGGGGGAATTCTGGGGTCACAGCCGTGTTGGGGCACAATCCCTTTTGGGAATCGTGTTCCAGGACTCCTGAGGGAGGAGCACAGCCATGCTCCAATGTGTTTCCTGCAGATCATGGCTCCCACATGACCCTTGGCAATGCCCAGCTGCCTTCTCCTGCAGGAATTGAGGTGGGAGGGTGACCCTGTTGATATTTATTACTCAGCTGACTCAAGGAAACCCTCAGCCAATGCCCCGGGGTGCTTCATCAGTGCATTGGAAGGGATCAACAGGCTCAGACTGCCATGGAGTCTCTGAAATCATTCCCTGGTGGAACCATTGCTGCTGGCAGTGTTTTATTCTGGCACCACAAAACTCTCCAGAGAGATTTCCTGAGGACCTCATGGAGCAGTTCTTCCAGCATCTCCCTACCTGCAATTTGATGACAGGTTTGATGATGCTTTTGATGCAGGCAAGCAGGAAACCAGACTGGGAAGGCAGAATGGTGTAGCTGAGCTGCTGCAGAAAATTCAGAGGCTGAGGGGGAGAGTGATGAGGAAAGAGAGGAAGAAAATATTTTGGAGCCTTTTGGGCTTGCCCTTGTCTGAGCAACATGAGTCCTGAATGCAGAAGAATATGCTGGAAATGTGCATGAAGGGAGCAAAGAGGAGGAGGTGGAGGGTGCACATGGAGATGAGAGGCCATAGCAGTGCTCTTCATGAAACTGGCCCAGGGAAGCCACTGTTGGATTGAGAGCAATGACAGCAAAGAAGGCCACTGCAGGACACTCATCACCATGCATGGCAGGCACTCAGAAAAGAAAGAGGAGCAGCAGCAGAAGAAACTGAAGGCTGCAGAGCCTAACCCTGAGATGTTCATGAACAGCACACTGTACAGCCCCAGGCTGGAGCACGAGAGTGACAGCCGAAAAATACAGCTCAAGGACCCCAGGGGCACAGTAGCAGAGCAGACCTACAAGGAGGAGCAGTGTGGGTGGGAGCATGAGGAGGAGAAAGAGGAAGACAGTGACAGCCAGGTTGAAGATGAAGTTGGTGGTGAAGCCGATGCTGAGGAGCCAGAGCACAGCCCTGTTCTAAGCCAGCCTACAGAGGCAGATGAGCAGTGCCACAGTGTGTATGGCCACACTGGTGACATCTGTCTCACACAGATTGTCCCCTTCAGTGGGTGAGGCAGGTGATGGGGACACGGTGGTCACCTCCATGGATGGACGCTGGGCAGGCAGTGGGATGTGGCCCTGGCTGTGGTCAGAGTGGATGGGCAGTCAGTGCTTGAAAAATCTCGGTATGAGCCATGCGGCTCCTCAGCAGCTCCCTGCAGTGGGAAAGATTCAGTGGGGAGGAGTGAGATGTGCAGGGGAGGAGGGCAGTGGAAATTGCGGGGTGGGACAGGGAGGCAGTAAGGTCAGGCAGTTCAGCA